TTTTTCCCAGTCTGTGGCTTCCCTTTTTACCCTGTTAGAGAAGTTTCTGGATGCGCATAGGGATTTGATTCTTACAAGGTCCCATTCAACTATTTTATCTTCTCCTGTTTGTAAATTTTTCAGAATACTGGGAAGACTCTTTATGTTGTGGATTAGGACTACTAAAGTTTTTCCAAGCTTTTCTTGAATGAAGTTTATAGTCCTTGCTTTTAGCCCTAGCTCCATGATCCACCTAGAGTTGGTTTTTGTATATAGAGTAAGGTGGGGATCTTGTTTAATTCTTCTGCAGACAGTTTACCAATTTTGCCAACACCATTTGTTAAAAAGGCTGTCATTTCCCCACCTAACTGATTTCATCTCCTTGTCAAAAATCAATTGCCCATAAATAGATGGGCTGATTTCCGGGTTCTCAATTCTATTCCATTGATCTATGTGTCTGTCATTGTACCAGTATCATGCTGTCTTGACTATCATGGCAGTGTAGTAGGATTTGAAATCAGGGAGTGAGATGCCTCTACCTTTTTTCTATTTTTAAGGAGTGCTTTGCTTATTCGGGGCTTCTTTCCATTCTAAATGAAACTGGAGATTACCTTTTCCATCTCATTGAAGAATGGGATTGGTATTTGTATTGGGATTGCGTTGAACATGTAAATTGCCTTTGGTAGTATTGCTATTTTCACAATATTGAGTCTTCCTATCCATGAACAAGGGATATTCTTCCACTTCTCCAGGTTTCTTTTTGTTTCTTGTACTAATGTTTTGTAATTTTCTTTGAATAGATCCGTTGTGCTTCTGGTTATTTTACTCCCAAGTATTTAATCTTGTGATTAGCTATTGTGAAGGGTATTGTTTTCTTAGCTCCAGCTCTGTATTCTCTTTGTCACTGTTGAGAAATCCAACTGATTTTTGTACGTTGATCTTCTATCCTGCTACTTTGCTGAATTGGTCAACTATGTCCAATAGTTTTCTTGTTAAGTCTTTAGGGTTTTCTATGTATACTATCATTTCATCTGCATAGAGATATAATTTTATCTCCTTTTTGCCAATTTGGATACCTCTATTTCCTTCTCTTGTCTTAATTCTATCACCAAGACTTCCAATACAATATTGATTAAGAGAGGTGATAGTGGGCATCCATTAAAGGCCCCAGAGGGTAACTAAAGGCCCCAGTGTGTCATCAAAGGCCCCAGAGGGTAACTAAAGGCGCAGTGGGTCACCAAAGACCCTAGAGGATTAACTAAAGGCCCCAGTAGGTCGCCAAAGGCACCAGAGAGTAATCAAAGACTTCAGAAGGTAAATCAAGATCCTAGACCCCAATTGGTAACCAAAGATAACAGTGGGACAAGTGGCACAAGGAATGTGCTCCACACGCGAGGCAGCCCCACTCCATCACCTGGCCTGATAATGTTGCAATGTGCTGAAGAACTATAGGGATGTACCTGGGGCCTCTGCTCCTTTTCTGCATGGAGACACAGGTTTACCTGTCACACAATCCCAACAGAGCCTACCAAGAAAGCACTTACCTTGGTTTCTGCCACTGTTCACCCACATGCGTCATCTCTTCTGCCCTTAGACATCTCACCAGCTCAAGGTGAAATGACTACAGATGGCAAGAAGAACAGTCTCCTACAGACCCTGGCTTGTCTATTTCTATTTCCTGCTGGGTGACAAAGCCAAGGCCTATTTTCCTTATATTTCTTCCCAGCCACCCACACTACTCCTCACTAGGGCACTGTCTGTCTTCTCCTTTAGCTCCCTTGCAGGCCACTGTGCTCATATCTTAATCACATGGTGTTAGGTGGAATGAGTCGACAGGAATGGTTGTGCCTGCATTTTTTAAGATGGGTATTCTCTGGTTGTAAGAACTCTATATTCCCCTTGGATATCAGAAGCCCATTTCCTGGGGGGGGGGCATCCTGACTTTCATCCATACACCTATCTCTCCAGATCTGTGGAACCATCTGAGAGTTAATTCTTGGGAGAGAGTAAGAAAACTGCACCACACAGTTTGTCTTTTAATCTTCAGATACCTGATGAGGATTTCACTGGGATTCCAGAATATCATTGCCACCCAACACTTGCTGATCTGCTTTTTATTCTCAGAAAGGTCACCCCAGTCAGTTAGCCTCCACCTGAGATAGCTGCACTGCAGGAGTATGCTTTGTCTCCACTATAGGTTTTTATAGATGTTGTCTTCCGCTTTAGGCATCTGACAAATTTTAAAGAATCTGATTGAGGGTTCCTTCCCTCTCCCTATTTTTACTACTATACTTTCAATTAATGTACTTAAAACCATTATGGAAACACCATGGAGTAGGCAGAGCACGCCAGGGGCTTACGAGATGCTGGACTCAGAAAACAGGAGGAGCCTGCTCACCACCACAAAGCCTAGAGCCAGTTTGTTCTAATGAGTCTAAGGTTTTTTGAATGTTTAACATCTTCTGGACCCATAAAAAGCATTTCCTGAAATTCAACACTCACAGACTCCACCTTCTCAGTGTATTACTTGTAAGGGACAGGACTTTGTACCTGACAAGTTATGCTGCAGCCCTATTGCAGTACCTGTGGGCATGACTCTGTCCTTGCAGATGTTATCAGTTTCCATGAGGGCATAGGAGCTGGGGCACTAAGCTTATAGGACTGTTGTCCTTGCAAGAGACAAAAGGAAGACAAGGACACATATGAGGATGAAGACAGAGAGATTGCACTGATTCAGTCACATTGGCAAGGCAGGCCTGGGACTATCAGAAGCGGGCATAAGCACAGAAGATTATCTTCTAGAATCTTCAGAGGCATTACAGATAACCTGATAAGACTTCTGGTTTTCAGAACTGCATGAGAATAGATGTTTTGTTCTTTTAAACCACCAAAATGTCTGTTAATCTGTTGCTGTTGCCCTAGGAAATGAAGGCAGCACGTGTATTAGTTATTTAATATTTGCTCTCTAAATTCAGTCCATGTTCCTTTGCATTTTATATGTAAGTTTAAAAATTGAATTTAGAGATCCACTATCAACACCCTCGGCACCAGCAGTCAACAGATCAAAAGACATGTTGCATTGGGAAAATCTGCTGTCCAGGATCTCTTAGCACTCTCCAAAGTGCTAAGGAACAAGGATGTCAATTTAAAGACTAATTCAGGCCACGGCCTTTTCAGTTCCTCTCTATGCTCCTGAAAGTTGGACAGTGAATAGGAAAACAGAAGGAGAATCAATGTCTTTGAGACATGGTGTTGGAGAAGAGTATCCTATGGATGGTCAAAAGAACAATATATTTTAGTGAAAGTCCAAGTAGGTGCTCCTTAGAGGCAAGGAATGATGGTGAAACTTTGTCTCACTTATTTTGGGCATGTTATTAGGTGAGGCCAGTCCCTGAAAAAAGACATCATGCTCAGAAAGGGAGAGGAAGACCCTTAACAAGATGGAATGCTACAGAGCCTGGGCTCCACTGCTACAGAGATGATGAGGATGGCAAAAGATAAGGCAGTGACTTGATGGCACTTAACAAAGTTCTTAAAGGTAAGAGAGAATTTCTGTTTATTGAAATCCTTCACTTGTGGTATCTCTTTCATAACAGCATGAGGTAAATAAGCCATCAAAGCAGTAAATAAAAGCAGGGTTCTCATGAATAGAAATTGTCTTCACAGGTTCACAGGACACACTGCAGATACCACCCTTGAGGCAGGGTCCCAATCAAGGCAACAGAACTCCACGAAATATTCCTATAACAGTTCTTGGTCTCTGCCTTCAAGATGTGCTTTAGTAGTTTTCTCCAAAACTTCCAGGTAAGGGGTCACCAGGAAAGCAAGCCCCATCACACAGCTGGAGAGAGACTGGGATGTCTACAGGACACACCTGCTGCATGCTCCTATGACCCAGGAGCTCCATGTAGAGTGGACAGACGCTCTTGGACCTAAAAGCCCTTTGACACTTCTATAGGTGGTGCCTTGTCCAGAGCTAGTTTCCTCCTCCATGCAGTCAAGCCCATCGTCAGCAGGAACCAAAGTCAAATCTGAGCTCACAAAGGGCTCCATGTTCAACCAAACCAAACTCCTCTATCATTGCACATACAACCAGGACCCCAGGTTTATTTAACAACCCTCCAGAGTAGGAGAGCAAGAAGGAAGAGAAGGACAGACAAAAGCCTGTCACTTTTATTGTTGTTAAGGAAAAGAAGCAAACAGAAGAAGAAATGAAAATGATTCCAAGACTCCTCAAAACAAAACAGAAAACAAAGGGCCTCAACTCAAAGCCACCACATTACAGTAAAGTCAGCAAGGATCTGCCCTGAATAAGCAAGACTTTTTCAGAACCACTAAAGTTTCTTGTTCACATTCATCTCTGTCACATATAACTCCTTTACAATCCAGATAGATACTCAGAGGTGTGGCTAGCACACTAGTTCTTGCCCATGCCTGCCACAAGGTTCTTGCCCAAACTTTTAGGGGAGAGGGAGGACCAATTACTCTTCTGAAGCACACCCCCACCCTGCCATATTCATGCATCACACAAAGGTGGGCCAGTGTTACCATTTCCTGTGCCACGTCATCTGGCGTCTCCTTCTCCAGGTCAAAAGTGAATTCTATGGCCCCATTGTCCTTGGGTTTCCCTTTTAGCTTCTTGGGGTCTTCAACCCAGAGCCGGAGGGCAATGGTGGACTTCCGGCCATGGTCCTCCTCCGCCAGTTCCACTCGGACCCCAGTGTCCTCCGCAAAGAAAGCATGGCTCAGGAGGTCCTTGATTTCATACCTGGGGAAGGAGCAGTATCCTAACCAGACAGATCACCATGTAAAGGCACATACACCCAGATCAGCGCACTCCTGAGCCAGATTTCTAGACCCAGCACAGTTAGGAAGCTCTGGTGGCTTAGTGGTAAGGAGTTGTGCTGCCAACTCAAAGGCATGCAGTTCTAATCCACCAGCTGCTCTGCAAGAGAAAGATAGACAATCTCCTCCTGTGCAATTAACAGCCTCTGAAAACCCTGGAGGTTCCAACTTGACAGCATACAACAACAGCACAGTCACAGGAGAAGGCAGGAAAAAGACCCATGACATAACAGGAGTTAGAGTGATGTGGCTCCTTCTCCTGTCATGTTGTCATGGCCCTGTACCATTAGAAAGTTCTCTCACCACCCAAGCCACTCGGCAAGGTCAAGCTCTGCACTGGAGGGCAGGACATAGATTCCTTAGCACTCAGGGGCCACACAGGTATTGATAAAGTGATGTGCTTTTATTGCATAATCTTCCTCCATTATAAGAATGACATGTGCTCACTGTACTGAATTCATTAAAATAGTTATTGCATACCATGAAATAGGAACCACCTCATAGCTGACCTTCCAGTGGGTTTTCTGAGGCAGTAAATCGCATTGGAGGAGATTCCCTTTCTTCCTCCTGTGGGACAGCTGGTGGATGCAAACTGCATACATTTGCAGTGGCAGTGCAATTCTTTACCACAAAGCCACTTACCTCTGGTATCCTAGTGGTTAAGGAGCTGTGTTGCCATTCCCAAAGCATGCAGTTCAAATCCACCAGCTGCTTTGCTGGACAACCTTTGAATACAATTAAATGCCTCTGAAAATCTCTTGAAGGGTCAATTCCAACTCGACGGTACGGTATATAACAACTGCTTGTGTAGGAGTTTCCCAGGATCAGCAACTATAGACCTAATTATGTGATCTGACTCAAACCCAGGATCCACCTGGAGGAGATTTTTCAACACTTGTGCTATTTTAGGGAACTCTGGTGGCCTAGTGGTAAGGAGCAGCTCTGTCACCTCAAAGACATTTGGTTCAAATCTATCAACAGCTCCATAGGAGAAAGATGGGCAATCTTCTCCCATGGGATTTACTGCCTCCAAAAACCTGCTAGAGGGTCAGCTAATGAGTCAGTTCCGATTCAATGGCACACAACAATAAGAAGCCACCAGACCTCCCTTCAATGAAAATAGCAAAGAATTTTTAAGTTAGGCTTCTGTGATGGAGCTTTAAGCACCACTGGTATACTTTCTGTGTCACACAGGTCTCTGACTTGAGGAGTACAATGCCCTGCTTCCTAGACCATGTGGCAAGAAAGGAGAAGGAGAAGTTCTCAGGATGAACCTGGCCCATGGAACACTGGAATTCTCAAGGTGCCCTCCTTCAGAAGAGGGCATTCTCCTGACCAAGGTCCCATAGTGTGAGCAGGACTAGTGACTGGAATTCAGTGAGCAAGGGGCACCTAGGCTGCGAGGTGAGCAAGGGCAGGAGCTGTAGGGCCCAAGGTCTGCCAAAATCCCCCAAAGGGCTCCAAGAAAAGATTATCAAGGGAGGGGTCTGGCTGCTGTATGGGGAAGGAAGGTACTACAATTTCGTTGCCTTTTCTTTATCATCTTGCCAGCCCATCCCTAAAACTAGCTTTGCCGTCCTTTTTCCAGAGTTTCAAATGCATGACTTCATGGTACCATCTTATGCCTGGCTTCTCCCACGTGTGGTGATATCTGTGTCATCACCAGGCTAGTGAGTGTCCCTGCTGAGCAGTGCTGCCTCAGAGGGCATTGTCACTGCTGGGCTGAGGGTGACACGGCTCCATGTGTATACACCCAGGCAGGGTCTATAGGAGATCAATTTCCAGCATAGATGACAAATGACTTCAGGTGCTGACTTCCAATCAGAGGATGGCCTTTGGGAGAGAGAATCTGTGAGCCTTCACTGGGGTCTTGGGTGGGAAAATGCTGTTTCCTCATCAGGTAAAGGCTTCACAGTTTGGCTTTACACTGTTGTTTCTTTACTTTTCTGACAAAAACCATGCTTCACAATATACTAGGGGGGTGTGTGTGTGTGTGTTTAAAATGTGATACGTGATAGCCTGAAGGGGGCAGGAGAGAAGGCAGAGTAGTCAGTCACTACTATAAGGGATGATGATGGCAACATGATTGTCAATGTCAAGGGGACAAGAGTATTCAGAGACATGTGGACAGGAGAGAGGGATGAAGTAGGGAGGCTAGTGAAAGAGGGAAGGTGACAGGAGAGATGAGGAGAGGTGGAAATAAAGGAAGGGAGGAGGAGGAGGTGAAAGGTTAAAGAATAAGAGAGAGGTTAAGAAAAGGAACTGGGAAGGGATGGAGGAAGGTAAGAAGATCAGATGCAGCCCTAGTATAAAAATCAGGAAAAGGTGTCCTAATCTGAGCTGGTCTGTCTTAAGAAGGGTTGGCCACCCACTTCTGAAATAGCAGGCCTCTGAAAACCCTATGCACAACAGAACACACGCAGAATAACAGAAAGGGCAACCTAGGTAGAACTATCAAGTATGAAAACACAAAGGAGGAGGAACAG